CACGGAGATCCCATAAACATTAGTGTTAAAATTAGCTCTGTGCATACACTTCTCCTATTTTGGTGAGTACCTTTCTTTCCTTATATTTATGGACTTCTTGTTAACTGAGTACAATTTTTGTACATTGTTAAAATGGCTTTGGAGCCTCACCATGTTTGGTAATGCTTTACCTGATAACTGTGCATTTTAACAGTAACAATACAGTTTAGTTTCTATTATAGAAGGTTCCATTATGAGGCCACCATGTCTAAAACACATGGCTCTTTCCTGCAAACTTACCATAATCCATCAAGTGGATGAGAATGACTGTTCCCCAGGGGCTATTTCAACAGTCCTATCATACAGAAATTCACATGTGCTACATCCAGAAACTTGACTGGTATGTCTTTGTGTGTAATAACGTGAATACCTGTTTCACTCTCTGGCTGCTTGAGACATGCTTGGTTGAACAGGAGGTATGACTAGAAGCCTTATCTTGTTGAACCAGTTACTGTCTTAGTCCCTTTCCCAGACATCATATTGCCTGAAACATATGGACAGTCTTGCATTGACCTTTGTGTTCAGAGACTCTCTCTGTTACAAAATACTGTACTTTGCTTACCACAGTTTTGTGACAATTTGTTGCAGGTCTCTTTCTGGATGGTCTTGGTGCCCCATGTGGTTCAATGTTCATTTGTTTTCCCATGCCATTAAGTGAAGGAGATATCTCTGTTTTGAAGAAAAATCTAAGCCTGATCAGAACACATCTTTATGTTCTGTGTGTGTGAATACTTTACATACCCTTCCAAAAGTGACTAATATTTGTCACACTGCTAAGCAATATTGTAATATAGTTGTTATGCATTTTGTTCCACCACAACTTCCTATAGGGAATGGTTGTCATGTGATTTGCTAATTTGCATATTCATAAATGTTTTAATGTAACATACCCAACTATATATAGTAATTTAACTATACTAAATGTAATGCTAAACTGGCCTTTTTTCTTTTTGTTTTTCCTTCTAGTTATTGAACGTTGTGATTACAGATATTAAAATATAAGAAATGCTTTATCAAGCAATGTAATTATATATGTTCTTTACAGAATTTAAAGTTTCTGTTAAATTTAACTAAAATATATATTTTTACAATGCTGTTACTGACTTACCATCATTTTCTAATATTATGAAGAAACTAGTCAGCCTTAACCCTTTGAAATTTAATAACATTTCACACAATATTTTAAATACACAGAGTTTTTAAATGTAGAAATTAATATTGGTTTTATTTCATTTCGTATAAATAACTGAAGAATTAAACAGGCAACACCCGTGGACTTGAGTTATCTTAAAACGTAAAAATAAATAATAAAACAAAATTTTTGTAAAATTTCTTGTCAGTAATTGTCATTAAAATGTATTCTTTATCTATTGTCTAATCCATTTCTAAATAATAATTCCAACAATTTTTAAAAGAAGCTTTAGATCTGACATCAGTAAGTTATGACTTGTAATAGGTAAATTAAATGTAAAAAGTTGAACAGATATCTCTTTACTAATATGTTAATTATTCAGGTCATTTGTTTGTTAAAGGTAAAGTTTTCTCGTACTAGTTGTGTGGGTACTGTCTTAAGAAATAGTTTTAAAACAAGTGTATTTTGTGTATGTAGAAAATGATGAAAGACAACAACCTTGTTCGTCATTTGGATGCATGTGAAACCATGGGTAACGCCACAGCTATCTGTTCCGACAAGACCGGTACTTTGACTACGAATCGTATGACTGTTGTGCAGAGTTACATATGTGGTAAGTTAAAAAGACTTTTATGGTAGATTTGAGAAATAACTATTGTAAAAGCTTATGAGATTGTCATACCAAGTGCATCATGCTTTGTGTAAGTCGTATGCTACAATAATGTATCTTGTACATTCAGGAACGTCGAGAGCCAGCATGGGCCCCGAGGCAAACATCCTCCCTTTCTCTCTCTCTCTCTCTTTTTTAACATTTTCAAGACTTTATTATAAAAGAAGATCCTAAATTAGGACAGCAATGAGCTCATAAACCAGACAATATCATAGCAGCAGCCGTTTTTACCTTACAGTATAAGCGTAAAAATGTTAATAAAGTAACAACAAATATCTATTAAATCTATAAAGTAACAAATACATATTAATTATTAATCAAATTATTATTTCAGTCGTTCTTAATGTATCAAGCGTCTGTATGCAAAGAAAAACCAAAAACTATGGTTTTTATCATTAAATGAAGATATAGCATAAAGATGCTTTGCGAGCTATACGGCATAACCAGATTTCATTCATCCAGGCACCTTAAACTGGTAAAAAAAATCCAGTTGGAAGTCAGTTTTCTTTATTAGTTACTGACCACATTACTCTGTTTCTGAGCAAAGGTTACAACTTATACATTAAAAATTATATTTGTTCAAGTACCTGCATTAATGTGGTATCCTAGCTTGTGGAACAGTTCATCCAAACAGGAGAGCCTTTCCTGAAACCTGAGACACAGTGCCTGGCATTGGAAAAACTGCATCCTTCTGTTGTCATGAACTGTTGATCTCTAAATGTAGGGAAGATTAAGATGTGCTAACTACGATACATGATGAGAGCACAGAAACATTCATCAGGAGAAGACGTAGAGGACAAACTAGTGGCAATTTATGACTCAAAACGTTACATGGAGGTTTGTGGTAGTATCAGTCAGCTTTTACAGCCATACCAGGTTGGAAAAAACAGTATTAAGTGGTACAAGAAGTTTCATTATGTACCAGAAAGCTGGAGGTAACAAGAATTTCCTGAAACGGATGTGGACAAATTGCATGTAGAAAACTTGACGAGACTGACGGAGAGTTAATGGCACCACTAGCTTCAATGAATATCAACTAAAGCCATAAAAGAGATGTCTTGTCTTTTTCAAGAAGGAAGCAGAAAATAAAGTAGATATAATTACCCAAAGTGTCCATCTGACCCAGTACTTTGATATTGTCCCTGTTTTAAATTTTACCACATTAAACTCGGACACTAGTAACAAATCTGAATTATAATAAGATCGATAAAGATTATATCTAAACAGTTTGTAGTTAGAAAAGCTATTTGTAGTTGCTTGTAACAATTGGGCCTGCAAGTTTGTGACAAATGCACAAGCAACCAAAGGGTTAAAGAAATGTGTATAGTACCAAAATTAACCTAAATTTTGAAAGAGACCATTACAGGTTATCCAAATTCTATTCTAAATGTTAGTATGTCAGCTGTAACTTGTACAGATGTAATGGTATTATGATTTGAGCTTGTCTTATTAATTAAATCTGTCTATAAATACTCCTAAAAAAGAATATAAATTTGATAATTATTCTTGAAAATACATGTAGATAAAGAGTAGATATTCTATACTTTTCAAAGGTACTTCTAATAAAACGTCACCAAAATATGAAGACCTTCCCCCAAACGTTGCAGAGAAAATTCTTTATGGGATCTCGGTGAACTAAACCATACCTGTACTATCATATGTGTATATACACCATCATTAACTAAATCATAATTATACTATCATATATATATACACCATCATTAACTAGATCATAATTATACTATGATATATACACACACACCATCATTAACTAGATCATAATTATACTATCATATATACACACACCATCATTAACTAGATCATAATTATACTATGATATATACACACCATCATTAACTAGATCATAATTATACTATCATATATATACATACCATCATTAACTAGATCATAATTATACTATCATATATATACATACCATCATTAACTAGATC